AGACTTTTCCATAATTCCATTTTGCCCCTAAATTATGTATTTACTTCCTAATTTAAGGATTAATTGATGTTTTATTGACTAATTAAAACTTGTGGGAAGAAAGAATAAATTAAAGATTATCAAGTTTGCTTTATTATGTTTATATATCATCCTTGTGATAATCATCATAATTTAATAAATATAAAGCTAAGCCAATATCTTGTTATAATAATGTTTAATTTAAATAGATACTCTAACTCCAAAATGTCAAAACAATTATACTATGTGTATGTGTGTGTGTGTATATATATATATATATGATTATTTTGGGTACCAAGTAGACGTAGGCATTGATATGGTAGCATATTTAAATTAATATTTTAATTAATTACTAAACAAATAAAATGTAAGTTTTATTATGTTACCAATCAAATTACAATATGGTATCAATATTTGCCTGTTATATGAAATAGTTTTGTTACATATGTATCTTGAATATGATGAGAATAACTATTAAATTTATATAGAATAACTATTAAATTTATTATTACACGTTTACAGAAGTGATAATTACCAAGTTTCTTTTTCCCTAATTAATTTATGAAAATCAAATGATGGGATTAGATTTTTTGTGACCAACAAGCTAAATACAAACATCATTAGAAATTTGGTCACTTACAAAAGTCAAGACTCGCATTTACATGTAAACCATTTAACTTCTCAACTTTATGCAACTAAGTTTGGGAGTTTATAGTAGAAAATTATGTTTTTTTAAAAAAATAATTTTCTAACAATTTAAGAAATTTAATCCTTAAAATGATTTTAAATGCTATTTTAAACAAAAAAAAAAATATTTGATAATTTAATATATAATAAAAAATAAATTATGATAGATAAGCATTCACATGTAAAATAATAATATGCCAACAGCCATGTAACAATAATCTACCGGTGTTATATTTTATTGGTTTAATTGTACCTAATTACAATGGTTTAGGAACTTGAATGCACAATTTCAGAAAGTTGAGGAGTAAATTTTAGTTTTTTGGCCGTATATTCCGTCACAATTTTTCATGATTAATAATTATCATCATTGAGCATAGTCTTTTAACCTACATTAAAAATTTGTTATTATTTACCAAATAATTCCATAAAAAATGATTTCTAATTTAAAATAATTATGTATAAATAGTTAATAACCATAATAAATAATAACAAAAAAAAAACAAAAAGTGATAAAAAATGACACTTAAAAACGAAAATAATAAATAATTAAAACTATCATTTTTAACCAAATATTTAATTCTTCCGTCCATTTAGAAAAAAAATATAATTATAAATCATACTGTATATTTTAATGCGTCCCTGTTAGAAAATAAATAATTGGTACGTGCACATATATATATATATGTATTATTAAAACATAAATAATGAAAAAGATAACCATTTTACTTATTGGTAAATAAATACTGTGTTATTGTGTACTTGTAGGCCGTAAGGTCACTCTTGCAAACAATAAGAGGAAGTAGAGAAGGGAGAAAATCAAATATAGCAAAAGCGACGCATGTGAGGAGCAGTTGGTCCAATGTGCAGTTTAAAATGGGCCACAACCAAGAAAAACCTCTTCTAGTGTGGGTCCCACTTCATTCACCAACTCCAACGCTGACTCACTGTCCTCCTTACAACAACAAGCCCATATCAGACACCCTTACTCACATTTTTGTATGCTGATGCTTTAATATATATATATATATATATACACACACACATATATATACACATATATGTTCAAAGATTATATAAAAATAAACAAATAAGAAAACTAATTGAGTGTTTATCAATTATTTATATTTAAAGTCAGGAAGTCATAAAATGCCAATTGTGCTTATGTCTGAATCTGACTACTTACGGAATCTAATAGATATAGATATAGATATATATATATATATGTATTTATGTGTAGCCCAAATGAAATCCAGTTAATAGGAGCAACTGATATCGATTTTGTTTTAAGTGAAACCAAAGTTGTGGTCGCTACCCTACATTGTAGCAAAACCTACTACATTGTTGATAATAATCATTAAGATGCAGTTCATTTATACATGTATACATACATACATATATATATATATATAGACAGATAGAGATTGCCTAACTTGATTTTTTGTTGTCATATGTTTGTTGTTTCATTTAACTAATATGAGAGTGAGTGGCATCTATAATCATGGACAAATAAGATCTCGCTCTATCTACTATATATGTAAATATATTTTTTAACAAAAGACATATATTTCATAATTAAAAAATATATACATATAAATTAAAACATAATTTTTAATAAAAATATACAGAAATATATAACACAAACAGACAGCTTATTATAAAGGAGGAGAGAGAGAGAGATAACAATAATCCCATCAAAAACTTTGCTTATACAAAGGCTATTTGTATGCCAACATTGAGGCAGCTTTTTTCTGTCGCTTGGTGTCAAAGATATTTAAGAAGGGAAAAGTTGTGTGAAGGTGATGGGATATGTGCCTCCAAGTGAGGACCACCAACAAAACCACACACGTCCCTTAAAATTAATAATCAAATATCACCAAAATTTCATTCCACATGCAAGCAGTGGTCGACTGCTTCCCCCCCCTTCCCTCCCGTTATAATTATGTATACATAGCTCTAGTTACCACGACCATCTCTAAAGCTGACAGGAAAGGAACAAAGAAAACAAAATAAATAAAAGGGAGTATGTGTGTGTGTGTATTTATGTAACGTGTAACACACATATTGACCAATATGATTGTTTACCCAGATGCTATTATATATTTCTGTTGGGAATTTAAAGATATTTCTAATGGATATTAATAATATTTATTTGGTGCCGTTTGAATTCACCGCCTGAAGGCTCAACATACAAATTAATTCATCATTCATGCCATTGTTGACTCAGCAAGGATGTAAAGCCAGAATATGGAATCACAGTTTGTTGAAATTAGATAATCAGAGTAGGTCATTACATTACATTACATTACATTACAATATTCAATTACAATTAGATATAAATTTTTATTAGAGTCAGTCCATAAAATGGTTGTTGTGAAGTTAAATAGCGAGGGAATAAAAGTGATGTCAATCGGCTGACCTTGTTGCTCTCAACTAAATATTATATGATTAGTTATCGTTTCAATAAAGATATTATATTGTTAAGTTATAAAACTAATCAAGGTTTGGTTTGGATTTTAGTCCAAGGAGGTTGGGCAATGCATATCCAGAAGATTGATAGGAGTATGGCCATTACTTTATTGCCTATTAAAGTTATTTGTTTATCAAGTTAGTAGATGCACTCGTAGAACTTGTAATGAAATTAACCTTTCTTCTTAAAAATGGGGCTACTTTTCTTGGCCATTAAAAGTGGGTCTCTATAATTTTTTGTTCATCTTTTAAATTTAGAGAGAATTTTCATAACTCTATAAGGTAGGATGGAAAATCTTTAACTTACCCGTTCTAGCTTTTTATTGAGGGAAGCTGTCAAAATCATATTTTTATTCTTGGTGCTGATAATGTAATTAATTTTTCGGTGAATTTAAATAAAATACTGTTTAAAATTAAATTTGAAATAGATTCAGAATTTAGGTGAAACTTATATTTATTTTTACTAGGTAAAATTATTAGGAATTTAATGTAAAATTAGAACAATGTACTTCATTTATGTAAATTTAATAGGATTAAACATGCATAATTTTAATTTTATATGAAATTTTATATGAGCCTATGTTTATCATTTTAAATAAAATTAATGATATTCTAACTAATATAAACATAATTTTATAAATAAATTCATCATAAATATTTTTTTTTTTCAAAATATAACTTTAGGGACTTTGTTGTTTAGAAGACCGTCTAATTTTCAAATTCAAAATATTTTTATAGGGACTTTAAAAGTTATAAATAAAGAAATTCTCTTTATACCTAGCCAATAAGAAGGAAAAGATTTTCATAAACCTACAGTAGAATCAACTTTTGCAAGCTCATTGATGAAAGAAAAATTGCAAGTTAATTTTGCTTATTTATGTAAATCGAAGTTAAACCCTTCATCCTTAATTATGTCAGTAAATTTTCTTAACAAAAAAAGAATTGTCACATAATTAAGAAGGATAAGGATGATGGGCTTTGGATCTTCCATTCCACTGCAACCATTCTCTTAAAGCATTGGATGCTCCCCCGCTTTTGGGCATCAAAAAGTCTTGAAAAGTGATGCCCAACCCACACACAATCTCGAAAGACAAAGTAAAAGGTTCAATCAATCAGTTGCACTAATCAACTGTACAACCTCAACAAAGTAGTGGAGGTTATATATGGTATGATGGTGTGTATTCGTTGTTTTGGTGAAAAAGTAAAGGTGGGATTTTAGTATGTCATGTAGGGAGGATAATGAATTGGCCAACCGCCAACTTATGTCCAGTGGAATATCATGATTCATTGAATAATTCGACTCACATTGACATCCTCATATCATATGGTACACGACTAACAACGGTTCACAATTGAGGAGGGTCCATATCTGTTTTGGCCTTATCATGCTCTTGCCACCGTTTGATGTAAATAAGTTTGTAGGTTAACTTTATTGAACAATGATCAAAACTAAGAGGAAACAATACTAAGACTAGATGTAAGATGCTTTGTTTATGATATCAAAATAATTGAAAAAGCAGTTTGTGATTGTGATTCATTGAAATTAAAGACCTATTATTTAGTTGAATCCTCATACTAAAGACAAGATAGCCGTCGCTGTTGATAAATAAACAAATGGATTATCCACTAAGCAATATTCTTAGGGATAACAGTTGTTGAAGGAATTAATTAGAAAAAATCAAAGGAACCTCCATAAAATATTATGCAATTGAAAATGGCCTTGTGTTTTTTTTCAAAAAAAAAAAAAAGATGAAAACTTTAAATATTATATATTCTTTTTAATCGAAAAAGAACAATTGAGGAATAGCCATGTAGAGTTTCTGGGGACAGAGGGCCCAAAGCTTCGAAATGATTCTTTTGCTTTGGTTTCTAAAGCAACAATAATGATAAAATACTATTCTGTTTATCTCAAGAAGAGAAAATGATTTAACAATAATATGTGCTTTCGGGCACGTCTTGAATTTGCAGTGGTCAGGAGGGGTCGTATAGGATATCAAAAAAATATTCATGATATATGAATGTTTCGTGCAGCAACTTCGATTAGGATGCCCTCCGTTCTATCTTTCAAAGGCTCTTTCCCATTACTACAAAAAGAAGTAGGACTCCAGACAAAAAAAGGGCTCCCAAAGATTTCTAGCAAGACAATCATAAGAAAGAACCTAAAGCAACTAATTAACCTCCATATGGGCTTGCTCCTCCTTTATTCCTGTTAATGTTCTTTTACCAATTGAAGGAATCCACCATCCTCCATCAAGATAATGGGACATGACTATAATGGTCATCAACATCGTTCGGGTAAACTGTACATCATCATTGTCGGCGGAAACCTACTTCCTACCCTCGTCTCATAAGCCTATTTGTCTTTAATAATTTAATAATTGCCCATTTCAACCTCCAATTATTGTTGGGCTAAAGGGGCCACATTTCCCACATTTTGGGCAAGGTCACCCTAAATTTCTGCCAAATGTTGGTTCCATGGTGGCCCAAGGAAAAAATGATTTCGCTAATAATCTCCGTGGGAGGGGCCCATTTTGGAGAGGCTCAAGGTAAGCCCATGTGGTTCGTACTGCATCCCAAAGGACTGGAGCAGAAAAGCATTTAATATATTGAATTCTAAGCTCTAGAGATAAGCGTCAATGGACGATTTTCATATATTGGCTTCTACAGAGAAACGTTAATGATACAAAATAATCTGAAGCAAATAAGGGAAACCAAGAAAAAGAACGAAAAACCTTTTGAAACGTCGCAATTGAGTGTGGCAAAGAAGAGAGATTCAACCTTATAATGCTGCTTGGGAGCTCCAGCAAGTATTCCTCAACTCTTTTGACACTTCATTATGACGTGAAGTGCCTCGTCTCTGCACATTTGAAATTTTTATAATGCATACTAATACTTAGGGAAAGAAAAATACTTGACTTTTGGGCTTTGCGTATGCATGAAAAGCTAACAAGGGTAAGGACATCACTAGAGAGTGAGTTAACATTGCAAGCTTTCTCATGTATCTAGAAATTTTCAGAAGTTTTTGTAAACAACTTTTCTACTGTTGGTTTCAGATATCATATGCCTGTTTTTCTGTTAAGTAATGTTGAGACCAATAACAACTAACATTAATATTTAACTGACTTCTTAAAGAAATCCTAAGTTATGCAAAGATGTTTAGCTCTATTACTCATCTTTTTATTACGATAGTTATTTATCCAAATAATCTAAAATCACTTCTCCTGCTTAAATAATTCAAGAGCTCTAGCATAATAGCATGTAATAGAAAACAAGAAAGATTGCACAAGTCTACCTTCAATTGATTATTATAGGGTTACTGTATTTCCTCTTTATCCTCCTTGCTTTTCTCAAGATCCGTCTAGTCTCTTCCTTTGCTTCCTCTATGTAATTATTTCCTGCATCTTCCAAATGCAAAACATGGTATTAAATTAACGAATGATTATCATGATCTCAAACAAGAACATACTTTTGTTGTAAGTACTAAAAAGTAAACTAACTCTTAAAATGCAGCATATCCCAGGCGAAAAAAAAAAGGAACCAATTAATTAACAGTTACAGTCTCCATGTGCCGCATGTCATTTTGGTGCTTCATTACTACTCCTGGAAATAAAGTTTAACAAAGAGTCCCTACTGGAATCTTTTTGGGTAAAAAATTTTCATTGTTGGATTACTCTATTTTATCAGAAAGATTTCATACTTTGGTCATGATTACTTGAAAAACCCTGTCTGTACAACCGCAGAGTAACTTCTCTAACTACAAGTTAATCTAGAAATCTTCACTTTTTCATCTTTGGAACACAGAAAGCACAGTAGTATATTTATTTCACATAAAAATACAAAGAAAAAGGAAATCTAAAGAGAACTGATGCCTGATATTTGAGGTAGACCTTTGTAAAAAATTGAGGTGTTTAAATGGGGATTGAACATTCACTCAAGAAAAAAATGAGCAGGAGCAGTTCCAGGCAAGAATAAATTCTTCTTCAAATTTCACATCCCTTTTTCTTTACCTCCTCCCTTTTCTTCAAGCAAGCAAGAAAAGCCTGCATCAATTTCTCCATCTGAATCAATAATCACTCTACATATACTTTCCTGCATCACAGATTGTTATCCCAAATGGGATAGTAAGTAGAAACCATCCCACATAGCAGATGCAGTAAAAGGTTGACTTTCACCATAAGTTGTATGCCATAAAATATAACTTGATTTAAATCAATTTCTTCTTCAGTACCTTGCTAAAGAACTAAGACACTGACCTATTTCAATCAGAAAGCTGGCCATCATGATGAACAAGGAAAAGTGGGAAGAAATGAAAACTAACCTGTTCAATGGAAGAAACGTCCTTTAGTTTCTGCTCCTTGTATGGTGGTCTCTTTCTGCAAGTAGCTCGTTCCAATTTTACTGACCTCCAACTTCCAACTTCTACTTTTGGAGATAAAATTGTTCTTGCAGAATCCAGAGGACGCTTAGCTAGGCTTAAGACAAGAGAAGCCTTTTAGATTTCTTCTTTATTGTCTTGAAAGGCTAGACAAACACAAAAAAGCATTGAAGGAACAATAAACTCTAGCAATTCGAAGCCCCTGGAGAAGCTTTCATAAAATAAAGACAGGTGGGGATTCAATGAGAAAGAAGCGTTAGACTAAGCTTTCTATAAAGCAACCATATAGAAATAAAACTTCAAAGTTCCATATAAGATCAAAACCATTCTTCAGATGCATTACTTGAAGCAACCATATAGAAATAAAACTTCAAAGTTCCATATAAGATCAAAACCATTCTTCAGATGCATTACTTGAATCCTGTATAGAACTTCTCTATAAAATTATGGCATAAAGGAATTAAATTAACGGGGAAAAACTCATAAGATGATCTTGAAGTTGATCTAATCCATGCATCTTTTCGGACTTCCACTCAAGATAATCAGTATGTAGCATCAAGTTATGCAGAAAATAGAATGACAATCATCATGAAATTAATCAATATTGAATTCTTCATACTTGTGCTGCTGAGGTGTTATCTTGGTTTGTGCAGTCTGACCACCAGTAACCTGCAGATTTGCAAATATGGATGTCTTTTACACACATTCACACAAAATAAGCGCCTTCGAAACTGCAAGGCATCATCCCAAGGAAAGCATAAATTACCTTTGCTGGAAGAATGTTTGCAATAGGACCACTTTTATCAGGGATCTTCAGCTTGGCGATTGCCTATAAATGGAATGAGCTCTAATGTCTATTTCTTCCATTTGGCATAAAAATTAATTAATCTAAAATCTTGCTATTGATTATCCTAGAAAATTCAGGAAAACAACTTAAAAGTTTTTATTTTTGCATGTGCCCCAGAATTGTCCATTACAGCACGTACCTGCATATCTCTAATAAAAGTGCTGCAGAGCTCATTTTGCAACTTCCGCAAAGAAGTGCCCATTTGTTCTGGTATGGCAGAAAGCAACAGGAAAATCTGCTGTAGCCTTTCCTGATAGGCATCCTTGCTCAGTTGGTCAGATACAGATTTAATGCCTGCCTCAAGGCTGGCTTTTGTATCTTCCTGTCCTTTGTTCTGATTTACCACTTCTAGGATGTTACTAAGTTCACGCTAAATTGATTCTCTAAAGAACTTCGATGAAGAAAGTAAAGAGGGCCATCATATAATACTTACCAGTAGCTGCAGTAAGGTATCATGAAGAATCAACTTCTGCCTTATGCTTTCAGCTGAAAAGAAAACTTAAGAGTAAATCAAAAAAATTTGGACATCATGACTTTACAGGTAGCAAAATGAAATTTGTGCTCATTCATGCTTCAGTAAACGAATTTAATTCAAATCTGATGTCATGTGATGGAAATATTCGAAAAAGGATGGTAACCATTCAGATGGTATAAGTAAGTCATCACCATCAAGATTAATAGTGAAAATCTTAGCTGCCTAGAAGAAAGAATCTGTAACTAGCTTTTACTTCCCATGTTGAGAATCACAAGCTTATAACAATATTTGGTAGATCTGGGCAGAATTCTCTGCGATAATTACTGCGTTAATTATTTTTCTCATCAGCACCTAGATCCTGATCCACTCGTGAATCAGAGTACTCACTCTCCATCAATATCTCTTTAGTTCCTCTGTTGACTTGCATGACATCACTCTGAACAGAATCCAATATTATTCCGTATCGGTTTAATGAAGTTTCCATTGCCCCAATCCGGCGTTCAAGTTCTTCATATATCTGACCTACTCAAAGAATAAACAAAAGTACTAGTTAGGCCAAGGTATGACATATTGAAAGGAAATAACACAAGTAAACCTTTTATTAAAATATAATAAACATAGATTTTATTACGACCGAGATGTTAACTTATCCATGTAATGGAAAGGAGAAAGACGTACATTTATGATCTGCAACAGAAGCAGAATTCCACTTAAACATTACATTTGCAGAAGATCTAGAGATTGGCATTGGGCTCTCTTCTCTTGTATAATTGACTGAGGGCAAGCAAGGAACCTTCTTCAGAGACTTCTCTCGTTCTTGAGAACCAAACCTCTGCAAAGATAAGATGCACAAAACCAAGAGTATATTTAAGAAATTAAATGTTTACCAAATTTGGCATATGAGTTTGGTTTGAGTGGAAAACAAAATTGTTATCATTTATGGAAAAGATTACATGTTGTACTAAAGCTTCAACTTTGCAAAGAAAGTAATTGAACTAACATGAACTATCAGTATGCAAAAATCTGAAAGCTCAAGTATAGAAGTTTTAACAATGAACTCAGCACTTTATAGCACTTGTTGTGAACTTGCATGGTTTGATTCCAACTAAATGGCAGTGGTATTATTGACTGAATAAGACAAAAAGCTCAAGTCAAATTAGTCCTAGAGCTAATCAACTAAGTTAAGCTTAAAGTATTTCAATTTCTCTTTTTAACCAAACAAACAAGCATTTGAGGAAAAACACTACTCAGCAATATCAGACTTTCCATTTTAAGAGAATTCCTGACTGCAACAATGAGATTCACTTACCTGATCGTTCATCATGGCTTCATCAAGTGAATTTTGAGTGAGCTGAGAAAAAGTGCCATGGTGAGATGAAATTCCTTGTGAAAAAGACTGTTGGGATGGTTGAGACCGGAGCTGTGATGATTGTGGTCCATTTGATGGAATGCTTGATCTTCTTCTTATGATGACCAAACCAAACAGTGAAGTCAGTAAGAAAACAGGAAATTTTCATGAATTAAATTTCAAGCTCACATTACTCTTCCTCTCTGGTTGCTAACATGTAAATTGAGAGAGACTTTGGACTTCCCGAAATCTAGTGACTCAAATGTATGTACAAGAAAATCTTAAATCTCACTAATTTTTTCCTATAATAAATTAAGAACTTAATTTCCAGCGACAAAAAATATTTAACATGATGATTTATAAGATGAAGAATAAGTTATAATTATTTGATTACCAATGGAGTTTGATCTCTTTAGCATCACAACCAAAACATGCAAAAATAAATAGCAGAACTCAATCATTCAATTAGGATGCCGAGAAACATAATCGTAATAGACCAAAATTAACAGAAAATTTAGGGGAAAACAGCAAAACTATCATCAACTAGACCAGAAAAAGTTGAATTAGAGGCAGTGGAGTTAAAATGCCCTAAACAGCAAAGCTTTCAGAATCAAATTCATTGAAAAGTTTGCTGCATCTTCTCATAGCGCCAAGCAACGAGTAAGTGACAGAGAAACCAAACCTTGTGTGAGGAGGAAGGACCGAGATGGAGCTAAGATCACAGGCTTTGTTGATCTTCAACTTCATTTTAAGAGAGATTCAGGTCTTTCGAACGGCAGCGAAACACCGATTGATTATTTGAAACCCGAACTGATCAAAGAAGAAAGACCTCTAAATAGAATTTTCCGACAAATTGAATTTTTAAACCGTGGAGACCCGAAAGAGAAATGTCATTACGTCGGTGTATGTAGTTGTGAATTAGAACGAACGACTGAACAGTGCGAATCTTGTATGCGGCATGGGTCGCGTGGCGGGAAATGAAGTTACGCATTTGTTATTTAGGTACAATTATGAATTTTAATTTCTTAATTTAGTAACACTTAATTAACATTTCATTAACTTTGTTAAAAAAAGTTCATAATGTAAATAATTTTTTCAACAGTGAAATAATATTACAATTATTTACAACATTACAAAATTATTAATTTTTTTAAGTAATTATTAACATCTTAGTTTTTTTTTTAAGAAAAAAACTAATACTAAATTTAATAGCTGACGTAAGAAATCTGGGTTCATTTCTTTAGCATAAAATTGGGAGAATTTTTACTAATTTTATGTCTCA